AAATGTGAGCATGTCCACATGCTCCTGGCTCAGGCTCGCTCTTTTCTTTGAGGCTATGTTGCCTGCTGCAGAAAACAGCCGCTCAGATGGTGTTGAGGTGGCAGGGATGCAGAGGTAAGACTTGGCTAGCCTGGCCAACATGGGATATCTTTCATTGTTAGCCTTCCACCACAATAATGGGTTAACTTTTCTCCAAAGTATGTGAGGACTTCGTTCCTCACTTGGCTGTGGACATCCTCAGCTTCGCTTCAGATGAATTTACAGGTTTAAATATACTAGGTTTACATATGACTCAGTAAAGCCCTGACATTCGGTTCTATTTATTTAATGAATCATAATGCGATCGTATTATTCAACGCGCTATTATTATGTTTGAGATATCAACCACTGGTCGATGACCATAATGTTTGTATAAACTGTAGGTAACAACTGGTAAAATGTACACCTAGGTCATAAAAACCGTAATGATACCTACAATTAAATATTTTCTTCTCAGCCATGTCATCAATTGCTCTTGATCGAAATCTCCTCCCATCCGTTGTCTGATTGGCATTTCGCAAAGATTCCTGGGTAGTTAAAGTGTGCGGAGCCTGCATCTATGCGGGCTTCGCGGAAGACCGCTTCAAGGGTACAAAGGGGGTGCTGCTGAGCACACTTCAGAGCGTTAAAATGCTGAATGGGACGGGCTACGGACTCGTAGACTCGGCGAGCACGCGCAATTTAAGTCCACGAGACCGAAAGTCCACATGAAGTGCGCCATTTGGGACAGGGCCTATATGAAATTCGTTGCCAACTCTTTTAGTAATCAATTTTTATCGATTTAATCGATTTGTTGTTGCAGCCCTATATTCAATTCACACGGACCATAGGACCGACCGTCACAGAACACGCGATCATGCAGGCTACATGCCCACTACTTCACAAGATTCGACTAAGTCTGCAAGGTTTGTGAAATTAAATGTTCGTTAGTCATTCAAAGATTTGTTTAAATTATATAAGTACATATTTGCGGAATGCTGACGGCAAACGAGAAAGTATTATAATGTTTGCCTTAGGGCTGGACGATATGGCCAAAATTTATATCACAATATATTTCTTAATTTCGGTCGATACGATATAATTCCAACTCTATGAAACCTACTCCTATAAAACGATATAATATTTTTTAAATATATATTAAATGTTCACCTTTTATTGTTATTTAGCCTTCATACAAACAAGAAATGTGAAATCACTGTCAAATAAATCTCAGACTCTCCTTATTAATATTAATATTTTTTACTTCAAACTATAGGCTAACATACCAGTCAAAAGTTTTTGAACAGTAAGATTTTTTATGTTTTTTCATTATAAATGTCTTTATCATCACTTTATCAATTTAAAACATCCTTGCTAAATGAAAGTAATAATTTCTATAATATAAATTTAAAAAAGAGCTTTTGAATGGTATAGTGTATGTTACAAAAGCTTTTTATTTCAGATAAATGATCTTTGGATCTTTCTATTCGTCAGAGAATCCTGAAAAAAATGTACTGTACTCAACTGTTTTAAATATTGATAATCAGCAAATTAGCATATTAGAATGATTTCTGAAGGATCATGTGACACTGAAGACTGGAGTAGGCCTAATGATGCTGAAAATGTAGCTTTGATCACATGAATAAATTACATTTTAAAATATATTCAAATAGAAAGCAGTTATTTTAAATAGTACAAATATTTCAAAATGTTACTGGTTTTGGTGCATTTTGGATCAAATAAATGCAGGCTTGGTGAGCAGAAGAGAATTCAATGAAACCGAAACCAAATAGCTTTGAAACAGGAAGTGAAGTAAACAGAAGAGAATGACAAAATAACGGTCCACATAACAGAACATAAACCTGATAATAAGATCGTTAGGCTATCGTTAGCCTATATGTATTACAGTTAGCCTAGTTGTGATCTGATCTCCTAATCTGACTGGACAAGAGACTTTCTATTGATATTTCCACTTTAGGGTTAGCAGTGCCGTTACAGTGTTGTGCCACAAGGTGGTGGAAAGGGACTGTCATTCAACTACACCAGGGTTCCTCAAATCTTGCCCTGGAGGGCCAATGCGCTGCAGAGATTAGCTCCAACCCTGATCAAAGTCACCTACCTGTGATTTTCTAACGATCCTGAAGACCTTGATTAGCTTGCTCAGGTGTGTTTGATTAGGGTTAGAGCTAAACTCTGCAGGAAAGTGGATCTCGTGGGCCAGATTTGAGGATGCCTGAAATACACGTTCAAAAACGCTGATTCATTTATTCAAAGAGAGACGTAATGAAACACGCTGTTGAAATCATTTTAACTTTGAGCGTCACTTTAGAAGGCTCAGCTGACCAGCTATGCGTCGATGCTAAGACAGAGATTTCCTTGGACATGACAACCTGTTTTCACAAATATATATATGACTCTGCCTGTAGGACAGACGCAAGTAATCGCACGTGCTCAGTTGATCTCTCTCTCATTCACTGTCTGTTTAGGCTTATTAAGTGCAAATCTACGGAGCCTCTGTACAAATCAGCATGGTACA